ATGAACACTATTGATTCCAGTTTCTCATTCACCAGTCTCTAATTAAGTTCTGGAGTTTTTACAGTCCCTTACATTTGACACCGAATGGAAGAGTCTAGCGTCATACCTGCCTGCTGCCATCTCAGACCAAGCTCTGCACTGGTGGCAACACTGTGCATTGGCTTCACTTGTTTTCCTTACTTGTATGACTTGAGGTTTTTGGTGATTTGGCAAATTGTTGTCTTGGGTGTAAACGTTATAGCAGAAATATATTTACCTGTGAAGGGTTTTTTTTTATGCAACGCAATGATAACAGCCTTTATTTCCTAAGAAGTGACCAAGATTGACAAAGGCACCGTTTCAAACATTACCCTACGGTTCAATGCTAACTACCACCTGAAGAGCTAAAGCAGTGCAGTAGATCGCAAGTTTTCCATCAGTCTCAGAGGATCAGGCTACAGCTGTCCATTCCAGATGTTTGTCTGTAACTTACCTGGGCGATGACTTCTCCTCTGGTTCTGAGATGAAGAGGTCCTGTAGATACAGGTGTCTAAGAACATCTCCCTCCTGTCAACAAAGCTTTTCGTTACAGTCTGTTTCTAATCTTTCTATGAAGGTTTTGTCGTTAGGTAGAGCCCTATTCGTAGTTTTTGTTACCTCGAACAGCTCATGGTCTCTGTGGAGACGGAGGAGCTGCGGACTAAAGGTGAACGGGTTTCCTTCCTCAGTCTGCCTCATCCTCTCCTCCTGCTGCTGCGTCGGTTCCTTAAATCCATGGCCTTCGCTTATAGTCTGAGTTTGACCACCTCCCATCGTCATGAAGTGAACCGAGTCCTGCTGAAACATCATGCACAGAAGTCTTCAGGACATCCTCGCAGAATTAGGCTGTCCGTTAAGGTTTTTTTGGTTTGTTTTGGTTCTAATTTGGCGCGGAGTTATTACGTCACTAATCGAGTTCCCAGCTCGAGAGAAATATGCCGCTTGTTTTTTGTATTGCCTGTGTTGTTGTTTTTTATCTTTTACTTCTTTTATGCTTTAATGTATCAGTTTTCTATTATTGTCAAAGTCCTAAATTAAATAAAATAAAAATTAAAGCGCAATTTTTTTTATAAAAATAAATTGCCGCTTTGTCGCCACCTGCTGGTCAAAGTAAAAGACGTCTTGCACAAAACGTGCCAGAAACTAGAAACAAGTCAGTTTGTAAGTAATAATTATAAGTATGAACATAACTACTGCTTGATTAAAAAATGGAACATATAGCTTTTGTGTGTAACTCTTTGTGGTATTTCTGTCCTTTACAACACATTGCTAAACAAAAACCATTCAGCAATAAAAGAAAAATGTATAGTAAGTGGGTAACAATTTATTTTTTCTAAATGAAAAATCCAATTACATCACAGCGCATAACATAGACACACAAGGAAGAATTAACGATGCCTTCATTATGTTTTTAAACTATGGGATTAAGCCAGAGTACCTGAAGAGAAACCTCACATGTACAAGGAGAACATGCAAACTCTATGTAGAAAGACCCAAGGATGGAAATCTAACCCACAACCTTCTTACTGTAAGTCAACAGTGCTACACACTGCACCATTATGTACAATGTAATTTTAAAAAAAGTGCAGAATGAGAGAAAACAATCTTGTTCTTTAATTCTCTATTAACACCTGGTTTGTGAGTGTCCTGGGGGCTTTTGTTTGATGTCATGAATGCACGGGCCAATTAGCATTTTGAAATTTTTGTTTGAAAGGACAGTGCCCATGTTTAATAGGACTCTGACACCTGGAGGGATGTGACCGGGAAGAATGGACCCCCAGCTCTCAACCTGGGTGGCGTTTTATTATTACACTTCTGTGCAAGTCACGGATTGTACATAATCAACACCATGTTCAAACATAAGTATGTGCATCAGTGTACCTCACACTTTAGGCCAGAGGTTGATTTTGTAGTGGTATCTTTTGACCTTTGGCTGCAGATCTTGGACTGCAGCCGAAGGTCAAAAAGGAGGGGCTGTTCACCAACTATTACCTGGTGGTTGGCGAGTAGTGAGGGTCTGCTGGGAACATCTGATTGAGCCCTTACTCAAGGACGTCTTCAAGTCCCACCTCTGGGACTTGATTCCTCTGCCAGATTCCGGGAGAAGCTGGAGGCATGAAGTCTATGCGTCCATTGTTGATGTTGCAGCCCGTAGTTGTGGCTGTAAAGTTTGTAGTGCCTGCCATGGCGGCAATCCCTAAACTCTGTGGTGGACACTGGCAGTAAGGGATGCTGTCAATGCTGAATAAGGTAATCGTGGAGCCGCGCTTGTCGCTGCCCGGGTGATTGCAGAGGCAAAAAGTTGCGCCTTGGAGGAGTTTAGAGAGGCCATGGAGAGAGACTATAAGTTGGCCTTAAATTTATTCTGGCAAACCATCCGGCACTTCTGGAGGGGGAAGCAGTTCTTTGCTAACCTGGTTTTCAGTGTGAGTGGGGAGCTGGTGACCCTGAAAAAAGACATCGTTGGGTGGTGGAAAGAATACTTTGAGGATCTCCTCAATGTGGATGACAAACCCTCCGTGGTTGTGTGGTTGAAGAAGAACCGGGGTGCTCAGAGCCGATTTGTTCATCACTCAGGCTGAAGTCACCAAAGTGGTCAAAAAAACTCCTGGGTAGGAGGGCTTCAGGGTGTGATGAGATCTGCCCCAAGTACCTTAGAGCTCTGGATGTTGTTGGGCTGTCTTGGCTAACATGACTCTTGAACATGGCTAGGAGATACGGGACAGTGTCCCTGGATTGGCAGACTGGGGTGGTGGTTTCCCTTCCTGAGAAAGAGGAGAGGGTGTGTTCCAACCACTGTGGTTTTTGACAGCCATCTTAGATTTGGTCTCAGTTTTCATCTTCAGGACGAAAACTATTATTAGTTTTAGTCACATTTCAGGCATTACGATGTGTGATAGTTTTAGACAGTTTTTGTCAACTAAAAGTCAAAAAGATTTTAGTATTGTTTTAGTCAGTTTTATGTTACAAATTCATAGAAAAGTAACCCTTTACAATTTCAAATAACAACCAGATTCTTTACCAGACTGACAGCTCTTGCCTAGATACTACAATTGCTGGAGATGCAATGCTGCAGTGCAGTTCATCATTGCTGTTTGGAAGATTTGATTTATAGAATTCAAATAAACTTTTTTTTATGAATTAATGCCCAACTTTATACAAAAGAGTCCCACAAAAGTTGTGAAAATAGCCGGCCTAGTTCAACACATCATATTGTTTAAAATAGCAGACAGACAAGCTAACAAAATGCACAATAAAGGAATGGCTTTAAACATACAAGGTATCCCTCCAAAAGAAAACACTTCTTGATCTACTATGGGTTATGCATTACACACAGATCAATCAGTCTTAGTAGCTCCAAAAAACAATAAGAAAATTATTCTTTCTACTTTGGCAATTTTGGCTTTATTTGTAAGAATTTTCCCCTTAGTTACAGCTGCTTAAGGGTCAAATGACATAGAGAACCTACAAAATCGCCTTTTAATGCCAAGAAATCCCGACATAAATTTCAAGAATACTGGAACCAAAATGGTGAAATATTCAAAGGAAACAAAAATGTTTTAATGACAATATAAGGAAACATTTACATCATATTTGAGTAAATAGAAACATGAACTGAGAAGTATTCTATTTACTCTTTCATTTGGGTCTTTATAGAAAAATAAAGAGTATGCAATTGAATATTTGCTTTGGATATCATCTAGGGAATCGTTTGGGCAAAATTAAAGAATCTTTTGCATCACCTCTTGTGAGCCGGAAAAGATAAAATCTTGATAGATAAGGAATCTTTACGCTTGGCAGAGGATGATCCGTCACATATAGTATGTTAAATGGAGGGCACAATATACTGCTGAAAAACAAACCACCGTTCTCACTGTGGGGGAGTAATCTGAGCTGGCTCAGTGAATATCTTTTTGGGTTTTCAGCTAAGCTTTTTTTATGTTCCACCACAATCCATCCATCCATTTACAATATCCATTTCACCAGCAGCCATCACGCTTATCCCTGCTGGGTCGCAAGGGGTGCTTGTGCCTCTCTCCAGCTTTGAATGGGACAGAGAGGACAAACATTTACGCACCATTCCTAAGGAGAATTTTAGAGAAGCAATTTAACCTAGCAATCATGTTTTTGGACTGTGTGAGAAAGCTGTAGTACCCGGTGAGAACCCACACATGCACAGAGAGAACATGCAAACACAAAGACCTGGGCCGGGAATCAAACCCTCAACCTTCTTGCTGCAACTGGACAGCACGCTTGCACTGTGCTGCCCCGTTCCGCCACTAGATGGCGACAATGCAACATGGATTTGGCTCCGCGCTCATTAGGAATGTGACTGATTCTAACAAATACTTTTTGTGCTTAAGACAGGATATAGAAAACAAATAAAGTAAATAATCGAGGGTCCATTTCCGGAGACTGGTTTATTAAGCAGACTTTAAACATAACCTACACAAAACTGGGGTTATTTATTTCGAATCAAAGTTAAACAGAAAAAAAAAATACAGTTTTTTCATTGACCAGGGAGGTCAGTTTGTGATGTTAATTTCCAGGAAATTACATCTGAGATGGGCGGAGAGCTGAGGACGTTTCCTCTGAGCCTGGAAGCTCTCAATGACAGAGACCGACCGACAGAGCAACATGACAC